CTGTTGGAGAGAGAGAGAGGGGGTGGGGTGGGAGGGGGAAAAGAGGGGGGGGGAGAGTTAGTTGTTGGTGGAAGTGGTCGTGGTGGTGTGGTGGGTGGTGTGGGGGTTGTGGTGGTGGTGGTTGTTGATGGGGTGGGGGTGGTTGTGGTGGTGGTGGTTGTGATGGGGGTGGGGGGTGGTTGTGGTGGTGGTGGGGTTGTGGGAGTGTGGGGGTGGTGGTGGAGACAGGGGGGGAGGTAATTGGTGGTGGAGGAAGTGGTGGGGGTTGTGGTGGTGGTGGTGGGGGGTTGTGGAGGCAGGGGAGGAAAAGGGGGAGGTAATTGTTGGTGGGGGTNATATATATTATATATATATATGATATATACAATATACATATATATTATACATATATATATATATATATATATATATATACATATATATATGTGCGTGTGTTTGTTTTTATATATAGTTATAGGTATATTTGCACACACACACGCACACGCGCGTGGGCACACACACATACACACACACGCACATGCGCGCGCACACACACACACACACATATATATATATATATATATATATATATAATATATATACACACACACACACACACACACACACACACACACACACACACACACACACACACACACACACACATATATATATATATATATATATATATATATATATATATATATATATATATGTAGTATGGAGGAGGGCGGGACCCAACCTCTGCTCCCACTCCTGAACTTTTGAGGACAAACTGTGAAAGCCTTTAGTTGCCTATTTGTTAAGAACACTGATCCCCTGCAACTATGGAGGCAGCCATAGTTTGGTGTTAAAATGCAATAACCATAATGTAGTCATCTAAATAAAGATGTCTGACATTCTAATCAGTTTATCACTTTAAAAATGTCAAAATCTTGGAGCTTCCGTGGGGTTTGCCTTCCCCCTTGCCATGGAGGAAATACGAGGAAGTCAGAGGATTCCATTGGGTTTAGTCTTACAAGTATGCTCTCCGCCATTTTTCTGAGGCTTAACAGGAGAGCATTTGGATATTTGTTTCAGTTTCAAGAAACTCAGGGCTGCAGAGCTTCAGTGCCGGGAGGAAGCCAATTACAGCCCCATATTTCGTTTTATTGCAGTGAGCGGAGTAATAGTGGATAAAATCGTCTTAATTTGTAGGCTTCCTGTATATAGAAAAACGCCGGCCGTCGTCATCCCGATGGATCAGTGTCCAGGAAAGGTAACTTCTGGTCCTCTTCTTCCTCCACTGTGAACTTGATTTTCTCGTGGACAGAGTTCAGCCGCGTCAATGTCAAGGTCTATATAAGTACTTAATATAGACCTTGGTCAATGTATGGTGTAGAGACGACCTTCTGGGGACGATGACGAGGACATCATCTACGTATCGAAGCCAAGTTGAATGCCGAAGCCGAAGTCCACACAACTTTACAAGGCTTATGAAGTGGTGCTTTGGCAGCGGAAGTTCGACATCTGCCACGGAGCCGGTGACCCTCTCGACTGCCCGGATTGATCCATCTGTAGGTACATTCGTAAAAAGGGATTTAACATCAAAACTAACCAAACACTTACCCAAACGATGAGGAGCGCTGCCAGAACCAGAAGTGATCGGTCTCATCGGTACACCTGGCTTGTGCACGTTCGGGAAGTGTTGGGAGAGGAGTCCCAAGACGAGTTGGAGCGAGTGAGAGTGAATCTCGTGCTTCCTGTTTCGGCACAGATGAGTCAATGAGGGTTCGAGTACTATGGGCAGGTTAGAAATAGTTAAGTGGTAGCGTAAGGCATCTAACCTGACCGAAGGAAAAGCCTGAAGACGTGTTGCATAATGACAAACTCTCGCTAAGCGAGAATAAAAATAGATGAATAAAAGAAAAGAACAGAAAAAAATACGACTGAACACGACAGAATCTTTCAAATGTCAATAGTCAAGCTTAGACGGTTCATTAAAGATAAAACCAAGTATTAAGCAAACCGCAATCGGCAATTTGCGTATATCAAATGGACAGTCCATCTAACCTAAATCTTATGTTGCTTAACGGCATAACTCTTGTTGACAAGAGTATATACAAGAATTAAAACATAAAAGAAAAGGAAATTACGCCGACTAGCCAACAAGGCTTGGCGTCAAACATCCACTTGTTATCCCCGTCGCCAGCTCCTCCGTGTAAATTCCAGCCAAACAAGCAGCTTCCTCCTCCTCAGTAACGACCGTAGCATCTTGTCTAGGGCGTTCACAATCGCTCGTCAGCGCCTCCTACAGGATCGCCTTCTGTGCCTTCTAGTTTCCGTTACGGCCTGGCGCCAAGAGTAGTTGGGGGTATGGGGGTGTGGGGGTGTGATGACGTCATTGTGTCCGTACATAGGGGCGAGAGCGGCAAGGAGCTGAGGCGTCAGCTCACTACAGAAGTCAGCCTTTCCCTCTAGCCGACCGCAAGGAGTGAATCCCTCGCCTTCTTCTTAAATCTGGCAATTTCCATCTTCCCATCGCCATTCGTCACTTTCCTGTAAACAGAAGCATCGGGAAGTAAATTGTTAATTTTATGTATAGTCAGTCTTATCCATAACCACAATACCCCCACCTTTATCAGCCTGGGTGATGACGATGCCCTCCCACTTTCATGCGGGAGGGGAAGGATTTCACGATTCAGGTGAAAAGAGTATGACCCTCGCTGAGTGCGCCTGTGGCACCACTCCAAAAGAGGTCATCACCGAAACAAATACAAGCAGGACATACTACATGGTTTAGTGGAGTTGGTCACTGAAGAGAAGTAAGGGAATGTACACATTTCTGCAATGATCATGAAATGCACTGGGAGGAGAGACATTGCACGTTGAAAGAGCAGTGTTTATGGCCAGATAAAATAAATAACTGCTTCCTAGCTTTTCATTAGAAATAAAACACCTTGTGTGCATACAGATAAAGCTGTAGGGACACAAAGGATGAATTCAATAAAAATATAATTCATTATAAGCAAGGTAATGTGTTTTTTTTTACTTGCATAAAAAGGCACATGAACGAAAGGGAAGGATGCACTGCTTGCAAATCAAGACATAAACAGAAGTAATTATTTGTAATCCCCTTTGATATCGGGCGTCATTGGGGTGGCTAGGGCCAATTACCTCCCAAGACGCTGCCCCCCTCAAGGTCTGGTTTGCCCCCGCTCCCCTATGGCCACTCTCCCACGATTTCCCTCCTAAATTACACCTTTAAAGTTCTGGTCGTAGCTTAAAAATGCTCTAAGATTAGCTAATTTTCCTATAATTTTCTCGAGGAGGAGGGGAGGGGGAGGTCTCGCAGCCCGGCAGGAACTGATTGAACTCACTTCGCTCGTCAACCTTTCTCCCCTGATCGGTCATACCATGGCTAACATGAAGAATTAGACAGGTATACATCGGAGGTGTGAGTGTGTGAGGGGGTGGGGGTGGGGGAGGGGAGATCGTGTGACTGATAATGGCAGGGAGGGACCGACAGGGGAATTTTCGGGGTCGTGTACGTGTGTTCATAGAAAATTGGTACCTCATATCTGAAATGAAAATTACATTTAAAAGGGTAGACTACTGTATTTAATAACACCGACTATTTATCTTGTGCTAGCCAGTTATTTATTCCTATTACACTTTTATATTTGGTATTATACGTAAGACATAATCATGTAAAGATATAAAAAAGCATACTAAATGGTGTAGCCAGTGCCAGCGATGGAAATGATGCATACCACAAAAGTAAAATACCGGAAGTTTACACAAATAAAAATGCATAAATAAATTATATATAATTTTGAGCATTTTGATACTTGATTTTGCTAGAAATAGTCCCCGATGGATGATTTGATGATCTTTAAACTGAACTTATGGATTTTCTGATTAGTGCAGATTACATAATTAAACAGCAAGAAAGATACGCAACTCTGGGTTAATTTGGTTCAATCATATTTGCTTGCACTGGTAAAGTAAATTATGCTGTCATATGGTTAAGTGTTCAGGGCTCTTTAAAATACAGGCAGCGACCTGGGTCGTCACATATCATTATTGGTATTGTTATTATCTATAATAATAATGATGATAAGAATAATGATAATGACAATGATATTATATACATTGTGAAGGAATGTATCTATTCTTCTTTTTATTTCTTTTTTGTTACGTTCTCGCACAACCTGTTGAGGTATGACAGTGTTCGTTTATTTTCTTTTTTGATTTATAGTGAAAATCATTTGGTATTATTATTTTCTGTTGTTTCAAGAAAATGGATTATTGCTTAGGTGATGTTCTTTGATATTTTATTTACTGAATAGGATCCTACTCTTGACAAAGGCCGGTTTTGAGAGGCGTCCCAGAATCATCTGATCTTGGTCTGACTGATCCTGCCATCTTCCCTCCGTATTTCTCATAGTATTTGGTGCTTAGTCGTCTAGTTTATTTCTGTGACGTGGAATTACAGTGTTTACCAAGTATCCTGTGTAAACTGCTATCATCTGACAGTTGAAGGGTCACTAATTTTCTTTATTTACTTACGCCTGTCTGTGTTGATTTTATTTGACTTTTGATTTGTACTTTCATTTTTATTTGGTTGGATATTGTATTTTATTATTGATTCTCATTGATATATTCTTGTTAATTCTGCTTGTCGTATTAACTGTACTGTTTCACCTTTTTCTTTTGTACTTGACGATTGCCTTAAGTTAGACTTTTGTTAATTCTAATATCTTTTCATATTGGTATTAATGTAGTCTCATTTTTGTGTTATTTTATTTTTGTCGGTTTGGGCTCTTCACCAGCCTTCCATTATTCTTTGTAAAGATTATTTTGTAACCTCTTTATTAGTCAGCATGACATTCTTTTGGTTTTGGTTATTTTGTTCCATTTACTTTCCATTTTTGTTATGTAAATTTTTGATAATCATTTACTGTCCATATTTCTTGTCAAGATATTACTGTAAATGATATCAATTAAATTGTGTGTAAGGTAGTCTTGTGTCTGGTTTT